ACCTGCTGATGGAGGACTGTGGAACGCCTGAGCTGCTGGAGGGAGAGAGGAGGCAGGAGGGCAGGGCTGTGGCCAAGGGCTGCCTGGGACCCCAGACGTTGCCACTGTGTCAGGGAGAGCCCCTGAGGTCTCTCACAGATCTCACAGCCCCAAACTGCAGTCGTAGCTGCTGTGTCCGTCTCCAGGACCGCACATCGCACCAAGACGGGTCCTTGGTTTAGGCAGACACTGCTCTGCTGGCCAAGAAGAGTGGCTCCCAGCTATGGAAGGGCCCGCAGGGAGCCAGGCGCATTTGACCCTCAGCCGGGGGCCATGTGCAGCGAGCAGTGGTGCCACCCCTATTTCACAGCAGGGGCCCTAGAATTCAAACCAAGGAAGAAATGCTTGTGTTGCTGAGTCATCATTTTAAGAGCCTTTGCGCGGGAGTTTCCGATGAGGGTCTGACCGCGTCCACAGCTGTGTGAATGGTGCCCCTGTGGTGATTCGGGAGCGTACACTCTTCCGGTCCCCAGATAACAAAAGTCAGAAAGGCAGCCCCTCCAGAAAGCCCGGCATCATTGCAGGTCCTCCTGGCAACATCTCCAGAGTGGCCTCACCTCCGCTGGGGCTCGGGGCTCCTCCTGCAGTTACTAAGCATCTACCCTCCCCAGGTCTTCTTTTTAAAAAAAGAGATCATTTACTCATTCATTCATTCTTTCATTTAAAAAGCAGACTGACAGAGAAAGAGAGATTTTCCATCTGCTGGTTCACTCCCCAAATGCTGCCACAGCTAGAGCTGGGCCATGCCAAAGCCAAGTCAGGAGCTCCATCCTGGCCTCCCACATGGGTGGCAGGGCTGTCGCACTTGGGCCGTCTTCTGCTGCCTTCCCAAGCACATTAGCAGGGAGCTGGCTTGGAAGTGGACCATCTTGTGCTCAAGCCTATAGGGATATGTGATGCTGGCCTTGCAAGTGGCCACACAACACCAGCCTCTCCTCAGTCACCTGGGCCTTCCCCCCAGGACCTGGTGTCCCTGGAGCTTAGGCACATGACAGACCCTGCAAACACCTTCTGCTGCCTTACCTACTGTAACCTTTCTGTCATCTCTAATTAGTACCTTTGTGGCTTGAAGTTACTGAGTAGTAGTTGAATGTTTACTCAGGAACATCATTATAGTTTTCAACTACTTATGGAATCATTGCTGGTGTGAGTGTGTGTGTGTGTGTGTGTTTGGTATATGAAAGCCATAGCTTTAAAATTTATTTCCAGTAATTTTAGTAGAACTATGTCAGCCCCTAAAGCCAAATTAAAGTTAACTGTAATCCCAGAAGGCTTGCAGGCCCATACCTGAGGGCTTTGGTTTCTATGAGGTGCATCACATGAGCCAACCCGTGGGTTCCCAGCACCAGTGGCCACTCTCCAGGCAGGCATTCAAGGAAAGCGCATCCTCAGTGGGTTCTTGGTTACGAAGCTTGTGTGTGCTGGATGGGCCTGCAGTCCACACCTCCCAGGATGGAGCCGAGGAAGAAGACTTTGGAAAGTGGGGGCTTGGCTGATTCTGCCAGCAGCAGATGTTGCAGGGATAAGCAGGTGCACTTTAGTTGACATAAAAGCCACCCTAAGCAAAAAGTAGTAGTAGTTGATGTTGCCAGAGCCAAAAAGAACAGAATGCAGGCTTCGAACATCCTCTCTGAGCATCTCCTGGTCCCTGTGGCCTCTGCCAAGCCTCATGGAACAAGTGAGAGAGGAGTCTGCCTCCAGTCCAGGGTAAAGATGCAGATGGTTACAGGAATTTCGTTAAGTACTTCTGCAAGGTTCAAGTTCAGTATCTCTAAGGAAAACTTTTTCCAGGATGTTGCCCAGAGGGAAGAGATGGAACCATGCAGAAGAACAAGATATATACAAGGTGATGCCTGCAGCCAGTTAGCACACAAGTAGAGAACAAGAGGTCCCAGTGCCCAACTAGAGTAAGTCCTCCAGAGATTCCTACTGGAACCCAAGACTGAGGGGCCAGCTGTGTCTGAAGTGGGGAACTGCTGTGGCTTCAGATACCCTGTTCTCACCCCACGATTGCACCAAGCTAGAAACTGGGGGAAAAAAAAAAAAACATAAATGACAGAACACCATGAGTTCTGTCTGCCGTGTAAGAAGGGTCTGGGTGCCTTTCTCTCCCTCTCTCCCATCCGCTTCTAGACTGCGATGACTGCTCACCTTCCAGATGCAGCTGAGGAGAGCCAAAGTCCTCAGAAGCCCTTACTTACTGGCCACGGTTGTCCATGTTGGTAGTGCAACCCCTGGTGAAAGTGAGGGGGCTTAAGCAGCCACATACTCAGAAGCCAAAGCTGTTGATGGCTGGAACCTGGTAGAAAGTGGTGCTGGAGACTGGGGCTGGTGGCTGGAGCTGGGAAGGAAGGATTGGGCCGTGATGGCCACTGAGCAGGCGGGGTTTCCCTGAGAGCGGTGGGGAACCACCCCTAGAGCTTTTGGTGACAGTCGGCAGCGTGAAAGACAGGCTGGGCCCAGAGGGTGCTGCAGGCCAGAGCTCAGTTCAGAGCTCCACAGAGGGCCAGGGTAGCAACGAGGAGCAGGGAGAGCAATCTGGGACACGGTGCAGAGTTCACATGTCGGGAGTTGGTCCCCGTCAGATGCAGGATGTGCAGGAAGGAGAGAAGAAACCAGATCACTCCAGAGATACAGTAGTCAGGGTGACCCTGTGTCCTGGGTTCTGTTGGTTGCCCAGTGTCATGGTCACAATGACCCCTCCCACTTTCAGAAAGGCCATTTATAGGATCTTGAGAAACTTGAGTCCGTGTGGGCTTTGAAGAGTGTACTTGGGATGTGGCCAGGTGTAAAAGAGGCAGCTGGAAACGAGGAGTAAGGTGGGACCAGCCACAACGACAAGAGTGGCCACCATGTGGGTGCCAACCTGCTGCGTGGGGGGTGGTGAGCTGTGCAGGGAAGGTTGAGAGCACCAGCCCTCAGGGGAGGCCACGAGGCACTAGCGATTGGCTGGAGGGCAAGTGGAAAAGCAGCTGAAAGCCATGTCTAGAAGGGCTTCCTAGGGAAGAGAGCTGGAGGAAGCAGGATGGCCCTGCATTTGGGCACTGGGGGGTCAGTGGAGGCCTTAGCTAGCACAGTCGCAGGGACAGGGATGCCATGCTGCAGTGGGCCCAGGGGTCAGAAGGAGTGGAAGGGCCAGGAGTGACACACACCATGGGAGATGCCCGACTCTGGGACTCGGCCAGCTGCCCGGATTGCCCCTTTTGTTTTTTGTGGGAGAGGAGGGGATGGAAATTGAGGAGGAAGACGTCAATGGCCCATTAAGCGGGGGATGTGTTTGCTTTGTTTTAAGATGTATTTTATTTATTTGAAAGGCAAAGTTATGGGGGAGGGGAGACAGAGAGAGAGAAAGAGGACAGAGATCTTCCACCTGCTACTTCACTCCCCAGATGGCTGCAACAGCAGGTGCGGGGCTAGGCAGAAGTCAGGAGCCTGGAACTCCATCTGGTTCTCCCACATGGGTGGCAGGGGCCCGAGTATTTGGGCCATCTTCCGTGCCTTCCTCAGGCTCATTAGCTGGGCAGCCAGCACTGAAACCAGTGCTCCAGAATGGGATGCTGGCATCCCAGTCAGCAGCTTAACCCCATGCCCCATAGTGCCAGCCCAGGACTTTGTGTTTAATCCACCACATGTTTGAGTGACCCTGAGTGGGAAACCTTTGACCTCAAGAAATTGGTGAGAAGTTTGGGGCATTGAAGAATGGGTAAAGGCAATCAAGGTGTAGGGAATGGAGAATTCTCCCAGGGAACCTGCTCAAAGCCACCAGTGGACCACCCCTCCCAAGTCTGGCCCTGCGTGTGCATTCCGGACCCTGGGACATGGAACTGGAGTTGCTGCCCTTTAGCGTCAGTGGATGGGAAACAGGGGCCTCAGAAGGGAAGCAGCAGAGACATGGGCTCCAGATCATCCAAGGCAGGCCCTGGGCAAGGCCTGACCCCCTCCCAGTCTTGCCCGGTGAAGCTGCTTGTGAGAGCCCTGTAGCCAGCCTCACACGGGGGCTCTGCCCAGAGTGTGCTACCAGGTCCCTGCGACTTGAGAAATGTTTTTAAAGCTTCTGCGCTCAGAAATGTGCCCTCCTCCCCAGCCCAACCAGCCTGGCCTGGATGCCTGAAATTCCATGAAAACCAAGCCCTGGATTTGGTTGAAGAGGTTGGGGAATGCAGCCCCTCTCCCAACCCAGAAATAAGGCGTGTGCTAGCGCTGTCAGACTGTTAAAGCAACATTGGTGGTGATGGTGAATTTGTCCGATGTTAGGAGACCCTTCAACGGACTATCTTCAGGTTATAGGTTCTCCATATCTACCAGAAGGTTCCACCTGGGATCTTTTTTTTTTTAATATTTATGTATTTATATATTTATTTGAAAGGCAGGGTTACAAAGAGGCAGAAAGAGAGAGGTCTCTGGTTCACTCCCCAGTTGGCCACAATGGCTGGAGCTGTGCCGATCTGAAGCCAGGAGCGTCCTCTGGGTCTCCCACACAGGTGCCAGGGGCCATCCTCTACTGCTTTCCCAGGCCACAGCAGAGAGCTGGATCGGAAGTGGAGCAGCCAGGACTAGAACTGGTGCCCCTATGGGATGCCGTCACTGCAGGCTGCGGCTTTACCCACTAGGCCGCAGCGCAGGCCCCCACGTGTGATCTTACAAGGATCCTCTAATGCAGAGAAGTCTCCAGGGCAGTGGGTTAGGCAAGGGAGAGACCACAGTGGCTGGCATACAGAAGCACTAAAAAATGCTTGGGTCAGGTGGGTGGGTGCTAGCTTTGGCAGGTGAGAGTATAAAAGGGACAGGACCATAGATCCAAGGAGTCATGCTTGCAGAAGCCAGCAATGGGTGGAAGTGCAGAAAGACACCGAGGGGTGTGTGTGAGCATTTGGGGACAACTCTGACCTCACATTACCATCATTTGGAGAACCCTAAAAAAAAAAAAAAAAAAGATGAGTAAGCCTCACTCTGGAGCACTAAAGGCAAAATGGGGATGGGCCATGAGTCTGTTCTCAAAGCTCCTCCAGCCAGCCCTGATGCCTGGGGAGGTGTGAGAACTGGCAGCTGAGCTGTCTGCTGCCCTTCACGTCTAGCACCCAAGCCTTCCTGCACAGGGTACCCACCTGCCGGGCAGTCACAGGAGGAAGGGCACGGACTGTGGGCTGAGGAAGGGCAGCAGTCATGGCTCCAGCAGAGATTTCCAGAAGGCCCAGGTCACACTTCTCGTGTTCTGACGGGACTGTCTAGAGAGAGCTGCCAGGACTCCATTCAAAGGAAGACAGCGCTTAAACGTTCAGCAATGAGAGGCCGGAGATTGGAATACATACAGACTTGACTGGTTTTTTGTTTTGTTTTGTTTTTTACTGGTTTTATGTCTTTTTTTTTTTTTTTTAAGATTTATTTATTTGAAAGGCAGAGTTACACAGAAAAGGAGAGGCAGAGAGAGAAACAGAGAATCTTCCATTCATTCACTCCCCAAATGGCTGCAACGGCCAGAGCTGGGCCAATCTGGAGCCAGGAGCTTTTTCCAGGTCTCCCATACAGGTGCAGGGGCTCTAGGACTTGGGCCATCTTCTTCTGCTTTCTCAGGCCACAGAGGAGAGCTGGATCAGAAGTGGAGCAGTCAGGTCTCGAACCAGCGCCCATATGGGATGCCAGCACTGCAGGCAGTAGCTTTACCCGCTATGTGGTTTTATGTCTTTAAATTTCTTTAATTAAAAGGTGACTCTCATTGCCTGTGTTTGTTTTTACATTTTAAAAGGTGACCTGCCTTTAGCCAAAAGAAAACGAAAACACCCACGTGCTTATCATCCAGAGATCATTTCAACCCATTCCTTAGTGTACATACTTTCAGATCTCTCCTCGGCAAAGATACCTGTTTTGCAAAAGTGAGATTCTGTGTTTTGTATCCTGTTTTTTTCACTTAACTCTGTGTAGGAAGCACCTTTTCTTGTCTGTAAATATCCACTTACTACATAAATTTAGATATCATACTTGTAGCACAAAGTTTCCTATCCTCCTGCGCAGTCTCGGTGAGCATTCCTGTAGCTCCGTTTTGCTCACTTCCTTAATTATTCCCCGGGATACATTCCTAGAGGTGGCGTGTCTTGGGAAGACTTGATACATAACTCCAAATTGCTCAAGAAAGGATTTGCTAATTTACTCACCCACCAACATGGTATGAAGAACTGCCTGTGGTAATTAAAGGGGGGATGTGCTAATTTCACAGTCTCAAAGTAGCTAACTCATTACTGAGCTCCTAACTTCTTTAGCTCTGGTTCTGCAAACAAATGGGAGTGGAGCTGAGGTTTTCTCTGATGGCTTGGTGCCCAGCACTCTCCAGGTCACTGCCTGCTGGGATACTCAGTGTGGCAGGTATTCTTAGCTGGGGCCTTTGTTCCCACTGGCCAGGCCTGCTTCCTGTAGGTGCCTGGGAACCACCAGGGGGCAGTGTGTAGTTACAGACGTCCTCTGCCTTCCAGTTTATTTGTAATGAAATTTGAAAAATACAATTACTCTTTTGTTGTATATTCTAGGACTTGTGCAGACTGGCATTCACAGAAGTGATTTGCTTATGTTAATATTTCATCTACCAATCATTTTTACATTTGCCTCTAGTTTACATGTTGGTTGTGAAAGATCCATCATTGTTCTGGAGCTGGGTGGTTCTAATCACAGCTCTACTGGCTGCCTGTGTGACCCTGGTGGCAGGCTCACCCCTGCAGGCCCGAGAGCCTTACCTAAGGGCTTGGCCCCTCCTCTTCCAGCACTAGCATCATGGAGTGTTGAAGGTGGCCATTGGGATGATAGAAGACTTCGATAAGTTATTGAACATCTCTGTACCTGAGTCCCTTCATCTGTTAAATGGTCATGATAGCATTAACTTATAAATCTGTGAGTGTGAGAATTGAGTAGTACATGGACATGGTTTGGTGGAGTGGGCACAGGATAACTGAGCAGCAAATGTTGTCTCCAAAGAAGTCTGTTGATTTTGTGCACAGTTTGCTGACTTTGCCTTTTGCACGTATTTATTTGCTTACCTGGAATAATAATGTTACAATATGAATTTCAAAATTGCTATATTCCTCAGCAAGAATTATGGGCACAGCCCCAGCCTCCAGGACCCTAGCTTAGAAGAGTTAGGACATACAGTCAGCTCTTGGTTACCGGCAGCTGGTGGGCCCCAGGGCCCCTGAAGAAACCCAAATCCGTGATGCTCAAGTCCCTTAAGTGAAATGATGCGGATTTGCATACAGCCTACACACATCCCTCTGTAGACTTCAGATCATCTCTAGAGTACTTATAATACCTAATATAATGTGAGTGCTGTGTATATAGTTGTTACCCTAAATTGTTTAGGGAATCATACCATGAAAAAAAAGCCTTGGGAATAATATTCAGTGAGGCCACAGCCATCCCAGGCCTGACCACGTGTATCATCTGTGGTTGGTGGAATCTGCAGTTGTGAGGGCAGGCTTGTGTAGCTGGTGGTCACACACACACACACACACACACACACACGTGTACTATAGGGAAGATAGAATCAGAAGCAGATGGGAAGTCAGTAAATGTTTCCTTTTTCTGATCAATATCCTTGTATTAAGTAAATGTAGTCTTGGCTGGCTGGTGGCAGGGGGCTGACCCATTGCCCTCCCAAGAGCTTATAGCTTCGCCCTAGGTCAGCTGAATTGGGACTGTGGCGATACCATTCACCAGCACTTCCAGGAGGAGCACTTAACCCTGAAGCTCCCTGCAGGAGTCATCAGGCATCTCACAAATGACGTGCTGTGCCGAGAGCTGGCGCCCCGGGACAGCTAACACTGGAGTTGTGTCCACAAGAAGCTCAGAGGGAGAGAGGGAGGGCAGGTGACGCTGGCTGTTTGCAGGCGTCAGCACGCAGCAGGGTGTAGACAGACTTGGAGGAAGGGCTGAGGGCGGACAAGGAGAGCACGTGGAGCCCTTGCTTGCGTGGTGGGCGCCTGGCGAGATGGTGGAAAGTGAGGAAGAGGTGTTTTTTTTAAAGGTTTATTTATTTGAAAGGCAGAGTGACAGAGAGACTGAAAGAGATCTTACATCCGCTGGCTCACTCCAAATGCCCACATTAGTCCACGCCAAAGTGAGAAGCCAGAAACTCAGTCCTGGTCTCCCTCATGGGTGGCAGGGACCCAAGTACTTGAGCCATTGTCTGCTACCTCCCGGGATGCATTAGCAGGAAACTGACTGAGAAATCGAGCATCCCAGACTCAAAGCCAGCACTCGCATATGGATGCAGGCATTGCGTAGCCCGCTGCACCAGTGCCCACCCCGTGTCCGAGGTGGTGACCTAGGAGTGGATCTGGGTGAGCAGCGGTTTGGGAGGAGGACAGCAGTGTGATCTGGGACATGTTACCTTTGGGTTTGTGTGCAGAGCCTCATTGTGCAGTTCCTAGGGTCACCCTCACCCCAAACTTGGCATAGCCCCTGAATGCATAAATCCATGACTCTAGACTAATATTTCCCAAATGTCGTTTGTTTACATACTACCTGTCCTGTTTACTTAATATTTCTCTTTGAATTAATTCAGTCTTCCTTCTTTTTAAAAATGTAGCTTCAGAGGCCGGTGTTCTGGTGGTAAAGCTGCAACCTGTGACACTGGCATCCCATACTGGCACCAGTTTGTGAATAAATCATTTAAAGGGGGGGCATCATTGTAAATAACTATGTCCAAAAAATAAGTTTTCCTATGATTGTATATGACTATATATGCACACAGAATACATATGTATTTTAATGACTACTAAAATGAATATTTTAGGTTAAAAAATAGGAGAGGTTATTTTTTAGAATCAAGATGAGAATTGGGAACAGCGTGTTGCTGAAGCGAGGAGAAGAGGCCTGGTGAGTGTTGAGTGTTGTGATCATGCATATAAAGCATCCGACACACCGCGTGCCCATAGGAAATGTTAATTCCTTAGCCCCTTCCAGTGTCCATCATGATTTCCTGTGCCCTCCCTTCCTGCAGAATCATTTTATTGTGCACGTACACACAGTTGCACACGCACACACACACCGGAATGGTGCAGGAGCCTGCACTTTGGGCCCTGTGTTGGGAGGCTGCTGGTGAGGCCCTTCTTGTCAGAGCCCTTTCTCACCTGTGGGGTCGGAGCCGTGCCCTGGCCCTGAGCCCAGGGGCTTTTGACCTGCCCCAGGAGCCGTGGAGAAGAGCTCTGACAGGGCCCGGGAGGTGCCATGCACTGGGAGGCCACTCCGGGCTGCCTGGCTTTCCTTTGTGTTGTGTATTTTACTGACCCCAGATAAGCACTTCCTGTTCCCCATTGATTATACACAGATCCTGCTTCCTTTCTCCTCAATACCTGGGATGCTTTCCAGCTTCTCCTCCCATAAGGGAAAATCCATAAACCTCAGAATTCCCAGGCCTGCTTTTGGTCAATGGGCTTTTTGCAAATCATGCTTTTTTGCTGTCCAGTCACGTTCTTTGTGGGGCCTGCACCTCTGTCTAGGAACTGAATTCCTCTTGGTGCCAGCCAGGGTTCTGCCCCTCCTTCTCACCAGATAAGTTATCTGTGTCTACCTTTGGGCCCAAGTCAGAGAAAATAATAGATTGCATGTCACATGCTGGTTTTAATAGCTACCTGCTCTACTGTGCTAAGGATTCTGAGGTCTTATCCAGCTTTAGTGCGAAAGAGTGCTGTGATCTATTAGCAATGTCTGCCATGGACACAAAGAGGGGTGTGGCGGCAGTTGTGCTATCCCCAGATTCCAAGGTCAAATTGAAGCTTCTAAAAGGCAAAAGTCATACTTTCGTGCTCTTTGGTTAAAGTATAAAAGTCCAGAGCCTGGTATTCTGATGCCAGCATCAACAGTTTTGGTGATTTGGGTAAATTCAGGAGTTTTTAGCAAGCTCAGTTTCCCAATTTGTAAGATTTATTTATTTGAAAGAGCATCAGAGAGAGAGAGAGAGAAAGAGAGCTTTCATCTGCTGGTTCACTCTCCAGATGGCTGCAACAGCCAAATTTGGGCCAGGCCAAAACCAGTAGACAGGAATTCCATCCAGGGCTCCCACGTGGGTGGCAGGACCATAATCTGCTGCCTTCCCAGGCACATTAGCAGGGAGCTAGCTCAGAAGCAGAGCAGTGGGAACTCGAACTGGCACCCCAGTATGGGATGCCACATTGCAAGCAGTGCCACAACACTGGCCCCAGTTTTCTGATTTTAACATGAGGCTGATATTTCCTTAACTATATCCAGGGTCAAAAAGATTAAATCTGATCATATAAAACGCTTAAAAAGGTAAAATGACCACAGAAGTATATCTTGCCTAGATGACCCAGCTTGGATCCACCCACATAAAGGGTTCTAGTTTTTCCCATGATAATCCCTGCCCACTGTGAGCCCTCTTTTCTTGGAATCTGTCATTTGCTGGTCTTTTTTTTTTTAATCCTCCCGGGGGTCAGTTAAGCAGCAGTAAAGATGCTGCTCAGGATGCCACATCCTGTATCCGAGGGCCTGTTTCAATTCCTGGCTCCACTTCCCATCCAGCTTCCTGCTTGCACACACCCTGGGTGGCAGCAGATGATGGCTAAAGTCAAGTTCATCCCTGCCTCCCCTGGAGGAGTTCCAGATTGCATTCCTAGCTCCTACCTTTGACCTGGCCTGGTCTTGGCCATTGTGGGCATTTAGGGAATGAAGCAGCAGCTGGAAGATCTCTGACCGTCTTTGTCTGTCTTTCCAGGTAAAATAATTTTTAAAATCCCCCCTGTGGCATATCGTGCTCTCAAACAGCCACTTCGGTATGCAGTGCTCATTAAAACATGGAGGAAGAGCTCTGTCATAGCTGCCGCTGCATCTAGACCAGCGGGTAGGCAGCTTCCTGGAAGTGGGCAGGGTCCTTGCCAGCTGTGAATAGCGTGGGCAAGCGAAGGGCGGGTGAGAAGAGACGCTGCATGTCGTGCAGAGTGGGATCTGGGGCCCGTCACTGCTGTACACCACCCCATTCCATGCGGAAACAGGTGTGTCGTCAGTCTGAGGCAAAGGAACCTGCAGCCAGCCCCAGCCCCTGAACCCAGGTTACTACACCCAGTTCCCTGCTGGACGGAGAGCCTGCAGGGAACTGGGTGCAGGTGAAAGACTGCTGGAGTGGCCCAGCAGTTGTCCAGAAACCACGGAACAGGGTGGGCAACAGGAGGAGGGGGGACAACTGTAGGCAGATCTTGAGGTTTCTGGTTGGGGAAACTTAAAGGTACAGGTTTGCCTTTAATACTTTGCTTACTATTGGTACGATATCGTACTTGGCCACTGTAAAGATTTCAAGTGCAGGAGCTGGTGCTGTGGTGTAGTGGGTAAAGCCACTGTCTGCAACGCTGGCATCCCATGTTCAAGTCCTGGCTGCTCCACTTCCTATCCGGCTCCCTGCCAATGTGCCTGAGACAAAAGCGGAGGATGGCCCATGTTCTTGGGCCCCTGTACCCAACTAGAAGACCCAGTTGAAGCTCCTGGCTCCTGACTTCAGCCTGGCCCAGCTCCAGCCATTGCAGACTTGTGGGGAGTGAACCAGCAGATTCAAGTTCCCTATCTCTCCCTTTCTGTCTTGTAACTCTGCCTTTCAAATAAGTAAAACAGATCTTTAAAAAAAGATTTCAAGTGCAGAAGAAAAGTACTAAGAAAAAACTAATACAGTGACCTGGAATGCTAAAACCCAGTGACAACATTTTGGTGACCGTCCTTTGAGAAATCTATGTAAGACCTCAATCAGAGGACTCACAGAGCCTGAAACCACTGCGGAGAAGCGGGGAGAGGGCTTCCAGGCAAGAGCTAATTTCCCGAGCTGCCAGTACACCCAGACCTGAGAAGTGCCCGTAGCATGTGGCATTAAAAAGTCCGTTACCTACATTTTCTCCCTGAAGTCATCTGTGGTCCCACCGAGACAGCAGATGGACTGCACCAGAAGCTAGCCTGTGTGCAGGGTGCCAAGCAGTGGACAGGAAGCCGTGAGAAAGTGGGAGCAGCCCTTGTTCGTGCAAGGACACAGCCATCACCACCCAGCCCTCGGCTCCCATCCGAGGCACACAGCCCTTTCCATCTGGAGTGTGTCTCAGCTTGCACACCTGTGGTGACTTCACACTCCTTCTCCCCCAGCCCCGACCCCAGCAGGTGGGAAGCCCGCCTCTTCACTCTTGCTTGCCACACACACCTGTTTCCTCTCCTCTGCTTATGTCAAGCCCCAGTCTCAGAACCGGAGAAGTGCACGTTGAAACACCCATGAGGGACTGTTTTTCACCTGTCTGTTGGCAAAGATGAAAGAGTTGCATGGCTGTGTGCGGGCCAGGGAGTGGGGAAATGAGCTGTCTCCTGCTGGCAGCAGTGGCAGCAGTGTAGATGGCGAGACATTTAGCAACACGTCTCCAAACCAAAACAGATGCACCTTTGACCTAGCAGTTCCTCTCACAGCTGGAAATGTGTCCAACAGCTGTGCTCATACCTGAGCAAAATGATGTGTGTTCGCTGCACCGACGACCAGGGAACTGCTCCATGCCTGTGAGTAGGGACTGTTGAGTGAATCCTGGCACCGCCATACTGCGGGTACGGTGCAGCCATTGCTGGGAATGAGGCAACTCCCTAGGCAGTGGTGTGGAACCAGGTCTCCTGTGCTGCAGGTGAACAGCCAGGGTCATATGTGAAGACCAGAGCTCACGGTCGGAAGCCAGCAGGTGGGCTCTGTACCTAGTGGGGGCCAGGGCAGGTAACCTCACCTCACCTGAGGGGCGGGCAGTGCTGTAGGTAGATTCCCAGATACAGCAGTGACAAGGTGCAAGCCAGAAGGGAGAGGAGGAGGGAGGAGCCCACAGGGTTCGGCTCAGAAGGACCAAGTGTCCAAAGTCAGGTGTGGCAAAGTCTGTGGTGTGATCATGGCCAGGCAGTGAGCACAGACACTGCCTGAGCCCAGCAGACCCCAGGTCACCGCTGACGGCCAAGGCAGCTCGGGATTGGGCAGGCCTGGAAGCCCAGGACTCTGTCCCAGTGGTCCCCGTGGCCAGGACCACCACTCAGTGCCCACACCCAGTGCTCTGGGGGCACAGCTGCCTGGAAGAAGTGCCTGCCCATGTAGGCCAAGGACCATGGGTGTGTCAGCTCTCCAGCCGTCTGTGAGCAGGGCCAGCAGTCCCAGCAAGTCAGGGCAGACCGAGGCCCCTGCACTCCTGCCCACAGGCAGTGGCGCATGGGCCAGCTGATACCAGGCCAGCTGTTCGCATCTCTTCCCAGCTCTGCCTCAGTGACTCATCGTGGCACCCTGAAATCAGCCGGAGTGGGAGCATTGACACCATGGATACCGGCAAATGCTACAGAGCAGGGTTGGTGTTCTGTTTTGTGTTTTGATTGCAGAGCCGATTGTTAAGCACTTAGCCAACTACCACTAAGTGGGATCTCTCTCCAGAGTGCTGCCGGCGAGTGAGTGTTAATTAGCTCTTCCTTGTCCCTGGTGAAGTGCAGGTCATAGGCTCATTGCACAAGAATAACTTGGAAATGTAATGACTGAACAGGTTTCTCACCATGTGCCCAGCACTCTGCCTGGCTCTGCCCGCCACCCTCAAAATGATCGCCCTGCCAGGAGGTGAGTGTTCACCCTCCCATTTCACAGATGAGAAGCCAGAGGTTCTGAAAGGTACACGGCCGGGCCCGTCAGCATGGTCTCCACCCCAGAACCCACTGCACTGCACTTTGAGCAGCAGCTACATTTGGTCTCTTCTTCCATAGGCTGCCATCTGGTCCAGGCCTCGCCTTCCAGCTGAGAAGGAAAATATCCCCCATTTTAAAGGTGGAAAAGTAGAGTCCAGGGAAGTTTAGAAAGAGCCTGGAACCCCAGTCTCTTGCTTCGTATGCCCCATGTCTTGTAGACAAAAGTACCAGATTGTCTGGAGTGAGAGGGGACAGAAATGGAACAATTAGGGGAAAGGTGGGGGACGTGAGGGAAACAGGTATTGGGGGGGTTGAAACCTAAGATTATTTGGAGCCCCTCTGTTGCCACTGCCTAGTGTCAGGGTCCAACCTCCAAAAATACTTAGTGACGAAATAAATGATGGCTGGTGCCACAGCTCAATAGGCTAATCCTCCAGCTGCGGCACCAGCAACCCGGGTTCTCGTCCTGGTCGGGGCGCTGGATTCTGTCCCGGTTGCTCCTCTTCCAGTCCAGCTCTCTGCTGTGGCCCGGGAGTGCAGTGGAGGATGGCCCAAGTGCTTGGGCCCTGCACCCTCATGGGAGACCAGGAGAAGCACCTGGCTCCTGGCTTCTGATCAGCAAGGTGCGCCGGCCACATCGGCCATTGGGGGGTGAACCAACAGAAAAAGGAAGACCTTTCTCTCTCTCTCACTGTCCACTTTGCCTGTCAAAAAAAATAAAATAAGCCCACGCTGCGGCTCACTAGGCTAATCCTCCGCCTTTCGGCACCGGCACACCAGGTTCTAGTTCCGGTCGGGGCACCGGATTCTGTCCCGGTTGCTCCTCTTCCAGGCCAGCTCTCTGCTGTGGCCAGGGAGTGCAGTGGAGAATGGCCCAAGTGCTTGGGCCCTGCACCCCATGGGAGACCAGGAGAAGCACCTGGCTCCTGCCATCGGATCAGCGCGGTGTGCCGGCCACGGCGGCCATTGGAGGGTGAACCAACGGCAAATGAATACCTTTCTCTCTGTCTCTCTCTCTCACTGTCCACTCTGCCTGTCAATAAATAAATAAATAAAAATAAAATAAAATAAAATAAAATGTTAAGTGCTAGAGAGAAAAAAATGTCACTTCACAGGTTTCAAGTACTGTACGAGGGGTGGTATTTGGCCTCACTTAATATTCCTGCCTCCTATATTGGGGAACCTGGGTTCAGTACCTACCTTTGGATCCTGCTACTGCAGTCCCTGGGAGGCAGCAGTGACAGCTCATGTAGCGTGGCACCCACCTCCATGCAGGCATCTGGGGGAGTGAAACAGCTGATGGGAGTGCGTTCTTGAGTTCTTTCTGCCTATCATTCAGAAACCCTTAAAATTCTGCACAAGTATGGTTCTAGATCACTTTTCCATAGAAAAGCACATCTGTCACATTAAATTCAAAAGTAGCTTATTATAGGGCATCATGGATTTATTAACTGGGTTTGCAAGGACTCACCTATGAACAAAATCTCAAGATGGAACCCAAAACTTCTACAGTCGGGTAAAACAGAGTGTGTTAAGGATTTGTGACATCCAGAAAACTTATGCAAACACATTGAATTACTCGTTTTTAAGAGAAAGGAGCGCAGGAGGGTTGGGGCCTTATCGTTGGTCCTTGGTCTAACGCATCTTGTCTTGAACCCAGTGCTTCTAACACTAATTGTTCTTCAGTGATTCCTGAAACTTTAAAAAAAAAAAAAAAAGCTACTGGGAACACCTATTCCATCCCCCACTGCTGTGCTCACTGCTCAGGGTTGGTGTCTTTTCAAAGTGAGATCAGTGTACATCTGTTTCTGCAGAAGACGGAATGTGCAACACATCCAGGACAGGCAGGGTTGGCCATCCTGGCCTCCCTGCTGCCTTTACAGATTCCCAGGGGTACAAAGCCAGTGGGAAACAGTTGTTCCGGAGTGAAGTGGTCCCACTGCTGTGGGTCAACATCTGTATAATGGATATGGGGAGAGACAGGACATCCCCACTTACAGATGGGGATGAAAGTTGGGGCTTAAGCTCACTACGTTATATAGGTGGGGCAGGTTGCAACACATCACCATTACTGGAGTCTGGGCAAAGAATTGAGCTGCAGGTGTAACCCTGGAGGAGCTCACAGCCCAAAGGACAGACAGTATGCAAATGGAGGGCAATACCACTACACAGGTACCACAGGACACCCCGAGCACAGCTTGGGGTACAGAGGGGACTGGCTGACCCGAGTCAGGCAAGGTGACCTTGGGCCTTTTGAAAAAGGTGTCAGAATTTACCTCAATTAAAGGACACAGCAGGCAGGGCGCTAGAGTCTGGCACAGCTGGGTCAGAGCCTGGGGAAGGGCTGGTGCCCTTTGTGAGTTGAGGGACTTAAACCTGTGCTCCACAAACTAACCAGGGGAGGTTTTAAGCAGAGACCTGATTGGTTACTCTTTTCTTTCTTTACTTTGGTATGTTTATGAGAGAGAAAGAGAACTCCCACTGACTGGCTGTCTCTGCAAATGCCCACAATAGCCAGGTGGGGCTGGGTCAGACTGAAGTTGGGAGCTGGGAATTCAATCAAGGTCTCTCCCACAGGTGGCAGGGACACAGTCACTTGAGCCATCATCTTCTGCCTCCCAAGGTCAGCATCAGTGGGAATGCTGGCGTCTTAACCATTAGGCTAATAAGCACCTGCGAGAGGTTAGTTTTTGAAGGGCTAAACTTCTAGGTGTTGGAAAAGCTGGAGCTGTAAGCCGATGAAAAACAATTAGGTTCCCAGCCATGGCAGAGTGTATAATACAATGCTTTGTGTTACAAGAAAGAGAGCATTTTAAACAGTGTCACCACCCCTGTGGTGAAGCATCTGCCGGCAGGGTTTGGGTGTTTGGCCTTGCTCTGCCGGGTGGGGGCGGCAGAGCGCACCACGCATCCTTAGAGGCCTGGGGAAGCCTCACCTCTCCATCCCCTCCTGACCCAGGGTTGGGGAGGCAGGAAGGACTAACTCGGACACCTCATTTTCTGCTTCGCAAGCAGAAAAACATGAAATTAGAACCAAGGGCACTTTTCTCTGAACTCAGAGCCTGTCCATCCCGCCATGCCGGGCTGGAGCGTTCTCACCTGGGAGTTCGTGGGGACGCCTTGTGTTCCGGGCTTCCCGCTGTCGCACGCCCCTCTGAGGAGCACGGCTGTAGATTCTGTGCCGTGAAGCTTTGTCCCCCTCTTCCTGGGCCACTCTAAGGGGTTTGCTGTTGAATGAGCGTGTGAGAAGAAAGTGGGTGCTCCCTGGAGTCCCGTCCGCGAGCAGCCAGAGCCGAGGGGCAGGGCCCCTCCCTCCCTTCCGGGGGCCGGAGGGTTAACGTCCCGAGCTCATGGGCAGTTCTGCCTCCGACAGGGCATGCTGGGATTTCCTCCCAGCTGTTTTACATCACGAAGATTTGCGTGTTGGGGAAATTCCAGCGCACAGCTGCAGTTAATCTGCTGCAGGGTCGCCAAGCGAAGGAGCAGGGATTGTGCGGGGCGAGCTCCCCACCCCCCTGCAGGAAGGGGGCTGTAGCTCTCCAGCGAGAGCATCCTTTCGAAGGACCCCGCCCCGGGCCCAGGCTGAGCGGAAACGGCACACCTGGCGGAGAGCTCGCGCCACGGAAGAGTTGGGGAGAAAAGGAGGAGCAACGCCCCTCTAAATAATGAAGCCAACATAACACTGATAGCAGCGCTTGATAAGGAGGTCAGCAACAGAAAGCTTTTGTTCCCCCTCAGGAATGTATAAGTGAGCATTTTTAAGTGCTCCGATTAGCATTCCACAGTATAATACAAGAACCAGCAAATCGTCGTGACCAAATAGGGTTTACCTGGGGAATGCAAAGGTGCGTTAGTGTAAGGCAATCTGTGACTATTTCTACATCTCACGAATGAGTCCAATGAGAGAAACCGCAGGACTGTTTCGGTGGATGGCCAAGAAAACACCCGTTCCAATGAAAACAATGTAAAGATAGGAATGGAATCATCCTGCCTCAGCAAGAGAGCTCAGCTCCGCTTGGCTGGGAACCACAGCAGCCGATACCCCAGGCCCCAGCACACTGCTCAGGCCGGAAAACCACCTTTCTGCTCTGTCTCGGTGGCACAGCACCACAGCCTGTCAGGTGGCTTTGGAAGTCAATGGCGGTGGTAGCCTGCTGTTGAGATTGGTGTTTGTTGGGCCTGGCGCCGTGGCTCACTTGGCTAATCCTCTGCCTGCATCCCAGATGGGCTCCGGGTTCTAGTCCCGGTTGCCCCTCTTCCAGGCCAGCTCTCTGCTGTGGCCCGGGAAAGGCAGTGGAGGATGGCCCAAGTGCTTGGGCCCTGCACCCGCATGGGAGACCAGGAGGAGGCACCTGGCTCCTGGCTTGGGATCAGCGCAGCTCCAGCCATAGCGGCCACTTGGGGTGAACCAAGAAGGAAGACCTCTCTCTCTCTATGTCTATAACTCTACCTTTCAAATAAATAAGTTAAAAGAGAGAGAGAGATTGGTGTTTACGAGTATCAGAAGTGAGTGCCGTCTTGTAGCCAGCACCGCAGAAGTGGAAGCCATCACTGTTGCTCGGCCATCCACTGTCTTGATGCTGCATAGGCCATCCCGTGTTTGGCAGGCCAGTGAGCATCCCCAGGAGGGCGCCAGCAGGACTGTCCCGGGTGCACACTGTGGGTATGTGCTGCTGCCCTGCTCAGGAGCTGGGCCTCGTGGGGCAGACTGAGTGGGGCCTAGACTGGGCAGAGAAATCAGCAGTTTTCATCTGCCCACATGACATTACTGTGCGAAGAACCTAAGCTGTGCCTGCATCACTAAGTCCTCAGGACATGCTTCACCCTTGAGCAATCACCCTGGGGTGGGGCTTTGGCAGGAGGCTCCTGGCATTTAGTAGGTAGAGGCCAGGGGGTGTTGCTAAACATCACAGGACAGGCTCCCCCACAGCAGGCAATTGTCAGTTGCACCAAGGTTGGCAAACCCTACAGTGCGGCCCTTGCAACCTGCTATGCCAGACACCCTAAAAGCTACCTGATGGTGTTGTTTGAGGCCCAGAATTCCAACAGCATCCAAAAACTAGGATCCAGGTTCCCGTAGGTCTGATCTAAGATGTGTCTGGCACGGCTAACAAGAAGGGAGAGTGTTCAGTCTTGGTGACTGTAAGTGGGGAGCCAATCCTGGTGGAGTGTCTTCCATGGTGTCCCCATGTCATGGAGCTGTTACTTATCTTTAGTATCTAATATTCAGTTTTTCAAAAACCAACTGCTTCTAGAAGATGCTTGGTGCTCAAAGGTAAGCCGTGGCTGCTTCCAGCATCGTGGCAGGAGAACCTGGATGTCCCTAGGTGGTGGGACAGGCAAGGGGGTGAAATCCCAACAGCATAAAGAAGACATTGGGGGCAGGGTCTTCAGGAAGATGGTACCAAGAACAACTTTGTGACTCACGGGGTTGTGGGAAGTGTGGGATCTGGGCTCTGGAGACCCGGCTCCGCCTCCAGCTCACATACATCAAGTTGGGCGAGCTGTTCAGCCTGTGTTAATGACCCTTATTAGCTCATCTGAAAAATGGAAATAGTCACCCCTGCTTGCAGTAGCTGAGTTGTTGTGCAGATTAAACCACAATCTGTGTGTGTGAGGATGTTTCAAAAATGCAAACGTGGCGTAAAGGTTGTTGTTCGCTGAGGGAAACGGGTTATGTGTTCAGTGCTTTTAACTTGCCAAAGGCATTGAAATCCCAGTTAGTTCACCTAGGAAGTGTGGGCTCTGGATGGGAGAGAGAGGTTTGGCTGGGAAAGAGAGAAGAATTAGGGTCAGCAAATGACCGGGACAAGGAGTGAGGCTCCCTGGGAGGGGTGAGGGCAGTGTCCAGGGGCCCATGGGGAAAAGGCTGCCCTTTCCCACAAGGCTCCCTTTGCCTGCTTCCCTCTGCGCCCCCCCAGCCCTGCTTGGCTTGTCACACCTGCTGTCCGCTCCACTCACTATTACTTCACAAATTATCTTTGGGGTTCCTTTGTCCCTGCCTGCAGACACCTTTTTGAGAAGCCAGCGCCTGCCGCCTCGGTCAAGGCCATGTTGGAGAGCAGAGAGCCTTCTGGAGCTCTGTCCATGGACATTGCTGCTCCCGTACACACAGCACAAAGCCAGAGCAGGAGCGTTTATTCCTGACATCGGACGAGCAGAGCGAGACTCCGTGTGCTGCTCCGCGAAGCTGCTCCTGGAGCCACCACTTCCTACTAGAGCTTTCATTCTCAAAGTCTCGAGTTCTGCGCAGAGCTGCCTCCGCTCTGCTGCCCAGAAGCGCCCTATCAGTGTTGACATTAAGACAACACGTGCGCTCTTGCTCCTGGCAAAGATTAATGGTTTGCTTATGAAAATAATAGCAGCCATTTATCAACTGTCTCCCACGTGCGAGACACTGTGTTGGGCACTTGACATTGTCCCCGTTCGTGCTGACAACCTGTAGAGTTAGTGATAACAGCCTTGTCTTACGGTTGACAAAGCTGACATTCAGAGTTGTTAAGTCACTTGCCAGGGTCACAGAGCCTTACCAAAGACTGTACCAAATGGCACAGGGTTGAGGAAAGTTGTGTGTGTGTGGCACACGTGGGGGTATGTACTGTTTGGTTGGGTTTGGGTTTCTTGCAGTGACACTTGGGAAAAGGTGAACTTTTGCTGGGTAAAAGATGACCTTTTCAAGACTGAGAAACACTGCAGTGAAGACCAGCATCTTTTTTTTTTTTTTTTTTAAGGTTTATTTATCTGGGGCCAGCATTGTGGCGCAAGTGGGTTAAAGCCCCAGCATCCCATATGGGTACCAATTCAAGACCTGGCCTTTCCACTTCCAATCCAGCTCTCAGCTAATGTGCCTGGGAAAGCAGTGGAGGACGGCCCAAATACCTGGGCCCCTGCACCCATGTGGGAGACCTGGAAGAAGCTCCTGGCTCTTGGCTTCGGATCAGCTCAGCTCAGCTCTGGCCGTTACAGCCTTTTGGAAAATGAAGCAGCAGATGAAAGACCTCTCTCTCTGTCTCTACTTCTCTCTCTGTGTAACTCAGCCTTTCAAATAAATAAATATTTTAATTAATATTTATTTATTTGAAAGACAGAGTTATAGAGAGACAGACAGAGGTCTTCCATTTGCTGGTTCACTCCCCACATGGCTGCAGTGGCCAGAGCTGGGCTGAGCCGATCTGAAGCCAGGAGTTTCTTCTGGGTCTCTCATGTGAGTATTGAGGTCCAAGCACTTGCTTTCAGGAGAAGACCAGCATCTTTGCGTATGGATAGACAATTACTCAGGAGTCACAAGACAGGTGATTTTTATGCGTTTGTTCTCCCGATGCTTCTGGAGGCACTGTGTGTGAGGCTGGAGGGGATTTAAAGGAATCTGGCCGCATCTCCGAGAGCTTCTTTGTTACTTTGATGGATTGTTCTAGAAGGTATCAGTGCCCTTCCCCACTGACAGTTCAATTTAGTTATTGTATCTACCTCCCAACCAAAAAATAATAATAATAAAGTGGGGTGGTAATTATAGATATATACTCTACCTTATTCTGGTCATTTGGAAACTGAACCTGTACAGAGCCTCTGGAGGTCAAAGGGCAGGCCTGGCTCACTGGGGCACTTTCTCTGCTGACCTGGGCACTTGTGACACCTCGTCTCACCACTCGCTATGTGTTTTCTGTTGTCCCCTGTGCAGTACCTGCAGATGAAATGGCCCCTCCTCGACGTCCCCTCTAGTGCCACAGTCAAGGACGCGAGGTCACCGTCTCCGGCACACTTGGTAAGTCCGTTTCACCTCCAAGCACCGCAGGGGCAACCTTACTGGCCTCAGCCTGTGCCACATGCTTCCCCCAGACTCCCGGCAGCTGATGGCGTCTAACGATGTTTCCTCAGTGTGTGAGCACGAGGAGGGAGGCCCGTGGCTGGTGATGGGGGCGGTGAATGATCAGATGTGACTGCTAGGCTTCCGCACGGGCCACCTCAGATGCTGACTGAAGGGAAATGTTGCCCCCAGTCCCCTTGCCCTGGCTGTTAACCCTGGGTCTTGGAAGCCTACCTTGGATCCTTTCCCACTGCCTTCCCAAGCCCTCTACCCACTTTACATGGGCCCCGGGTGGGGGCGGGCTCCTTTCTTTCCTGCTGGAGCTCCCTCAGCCATGCAACAGCTGAAAAGGCCCTGCTTTCCAGGAGTGCAGACAAAAGCCCTGCGGGTGGCCGGGCGGGGAGTGGGGTCCCTGCAGGTCTCCTCACCTCAGGATATGCTGAGGGAAGAGGTGGGGCTCCCGAAGTGGAACCTACACTCCTCAGTTCCTCATTGCTGGGCTTCTCACAGGCACTCGAGGCCGTGTGTATCTTACCCCACTCGCCCCCAAGCTGCCCC